GTACTGACCCCGAGACCGTGCTGCAGTTCCTCATTCGGGCCCAGGAGGTCTATGACCTGAACCTGGTGGGCGATTTGGAATTTCTGGCGCTCTTGGTGGGTAGGACTTCCGGTAGGGTCACTCAGATCCTTGGTTTCCATTTGGGGACCTCTTCCAAGTGGGAATTGGTTAGTTCCGAAATCTCCTCTACCTTCCTTCCTCCACGTATTCATGAAGATTTAGTGTCTAAATATGTGTTGCGGAGCTTTCAATCGCCCACGGAGGATTTGACCCAATTTATTATGTCTGTGATAGCGGCTGCGCGCATCCTAAACTATAATGGATCTCAGTCGGACTTAGTGCAGCGCATTGTCCAAAACATGCATCCTCGGGTTAGGGCAAATTTGGTGTTTGGATCTAAACCCACTACTATTTCCGAGTTGCATGCCTTGGCAAGTCAGGTCGCCGAAGCAAGGGCCATAGATAGTCAGAGACGAGGTTCTGAAAACCAGGCCTTGGCCGGGGCCTCTCAGTCAGCGGGCCGTGCCTCCCGTCAGGTTAGTATGGCTATAGACCAGGGACAGCGAGTGCGGAGTGAGGGAGTGGTTTGTTGGAAGTGCTTGGGGAAGGGTCATCTAAGAAGGCACTGTCCATCTTCTCTTCCCTTGCCTTTGAGTAACCAGGGAAACGAACAAGGCGCTCAGCAGTAAAGCCATCTGCTAGAGTCCGAGCGCCGAAAAGAACCGTGCCTCGCTTAGGAATTTCGCCGGTACGGACGGCTGGAAACAATCCGTGGGTTCTTCTGACGATTAAGGGGTATTGTTTACCAGCAATTTTGGATTCAGGTTCCTCCTCCTCTTTCATCAGACGAAACGTGTTTCAGCGCGTCCAAAGCTTAGGCTTGCAGTGCTCGGCAGAGGCCGTGAGCCAATCGTGTCGCGCTGCTAATGGCCAACATTGTGCGATAAGTCAGGCCGTTTTGCTGCAGATTAAGTTGCACTCCTTCTCATGGAAGTATTCCTTCCTGGTATTCGATGACTCTCCCGTGCCGTGCATATTAGGGGCTGATTTTCTGGCCTTTGCCAAAATGCAATTAGAGTTTTCTACGATGTCTTACAAGTTTGCATTTGATCTCGCCTGTCAGTACGATTTCGAGCGATTCGAGTTCTGCTCGCAAGACTTGCAGGAGTTCCCGTGTTCCGAGAAGGATTTGTCTAAGTTAGC